AATAAAAGATATATATTCCATATCCTTTGAAATATCTTTATTATCATTATATTCAATATTTAATATTTGAAATATTCCATAAACTAATATAAATGTTGATAACCATTTAGATAATTTGTGTACTATTAATAAAAACATTTCTAAATTTTAAGTATCTTACAAATTAATCAAATAATAAAATTTTACAATATTAAAAAGAAAAAAAAGGTCCAATTTCTAATTAAGTGCAATTATAGTGGAATTATATTTAATACAAGTATATTCAAATTATTCAAATGAGAGTAATTTATCCATGTGTCCATATATTCGAATAAAAATGGGTGCAATATTCATATGTGCATAAACACGGGTACAAGTGTTATAAAAATAAAATATCACACAAAATCTTATTATTTATTAAGTAATATTAAATTTTTTTATAAATTTTATTGGATGTTAATAAAAATTGTCTATATTTATAATGAAGTCATCTCTTCTCATTTAACAATATGAGTCCTACTAAATAAATTCTTAATAATATAAAATATTATTCCGATTTCTTAGATTAATCTCCATACTTTATTATAAATTCTTGTTATATTATAAAGATTATGATAGGCTTATTATAAGTACAAAGAGCTAATATACTTGTTTATAGGGTATATTTGTATAGTATTATACTAAGGCGGTAAATATTGCATGTGTACGTATTTGCATCGTGTCTACATAATTAGGCAGTAACATGGAGACATTTTATTAGATCAAAATTTTGTCTTTATTGACCTTTTATCAATATACATTTAATAAACTAATTGTATAGTATTATAACATAACGTATTTATTAGTCTTATTATTTAAATGTTTAATATAACTTGCTAATGTAAGTTTTTAACTTATAATTCTTAATACTAATTAGTTTTATAATTGACTATTCATATATCAAATATTTAGAGTACTTCACTACTATTGTTTGTTGTTTAATTTTGTCTAATAAATAGATAAATATTTCAAAATAAAAAGGGGAATTATTTTATATTAGAACTTTTCATTATAAAACTAAGATTTATTTATAAGACCTGTTTCAGGTATTTATTTGTCTTAAGTATCTTGAAAAAAAAAAAAGGAAAATCCTCTAATAAAATATTTAGTGACATATTAATAAACAAAATCATTAAAATATATTCTAAAAAGCAAAATTGAGTACTTATATAGAATTAATATAAGAATGACCAGTTTAAGAATATTATTGTCAAATATAATAAACTATCATGCTATAAGCCGCTTTAGTAGCTTCCGTAATATTTAAATTTTCAGACTTGATTAAATATTGAATATTAGTTAATAAAATAAAATTAATATATCCTGACATTTTCACTAATAGAGAGGGTCTTATTATATCAAAAAGAATGTATAATATTTGTTTATAAAGATGGTTTCTTTAAATTTATTGAAAGTCTTTGTAATAATATTAATGTCGGTATATTTATATATATATACATTACCAAATCTTATAGATTTACGAAATTCTAAAGATAAGATTTTAGAAAATGATGAATTCCTGAATAATGAAGAATCAATTAATTTAAAAGAAGTAAATTCAAGTAGAATTGAAGATAAATATTTTATAAAATTTTGTGGAGATTCATCTAAATATCGTTTTTTAACTTTAAAAAATAATTTGAAGGTTTATCTTATATCAAATAAAGAATTTAAAACTAGTGAGGTATCTTTAGGAGTTTATTTAGAAAATGTATCAAGACTTGAACATATACCAGGATTGTCATATTTATTATCACAAGTAATATTTATTGAATATACTTCTAAATCTAAGTTCCTAACTTTTTTATTAAAGAATAATGGTAAAATGAATTCTTTTTCTCGTTCTAAACATACAAGATTTGAGTTTAAAATTAATTCAGGGAGTTTAATTAGATCACTTGAAATATTTTCCAGTTATTTAATTAAAGCCAAATTTACTGAATCATCAATTCTCAATATACTTAATGATACAAGATATTTTATAAAAGTAGAAGATCAAGTAGATTTTGAGGTTCTACAACTACTTTATAATATTATATATGATGAAATAAATAAGAAAATAAGTCAATTTCCCATTAATGATATAAGTAGGGTTAACTTAATGTTTGCTGGTACTGATGTTTATATTGAGTTGTTAAAATTTTATTATACTTATTATAAGGCAGATTTTATGACAATATGTATTACATCAGATAAAGATTTGGATGAACTTGAATTTTATGTTGATAGAATATTTTCAAATATTCCAAGTAAAATAAATGAATTATCTGATAATTTTTTGATTGAATATTCAAGTTTAGATCTTAATGAATATTCACTTACTTTAAATAATTATAAATATGAAATTGATTATTTAATTGGAAAGATTATTCAACTAACTCCTATAAAATCAAAATTAAATATGTTAACTTTAGTATTTCCAATTCCAAACAATTTACCTGATAATCAATATAGTTCATTAAAACTAATAGTTTTTTTATTAACACAATCGGGTCAAAAAAGTTTTTCTAAGAAGATGAAATTAAAATATAATATTTTGAATATTGCTGCAAAATTTTTTTATGGTAGAGGTGAAAATAATTATTTTATATTAAAAGTATCTTTAGATTCTAAATCCAGAATATTGAAGATAATGGAATCTTTTTTTTCTATAATAGAAATGATAAAAAGTATGAAGATTGATGATATAGATATGAAACAAATAAGATCTCAAAGAATATTAAATAGTATTGAATATTTTCGGAATAGAGAATTTCGTGGACTTTCAGCTAAAGTTGTTTATTCTTCTATCAATAACAATATTCCCCAAAATCATATAATGAAATATGTATTGTTAACTGATATGAGTCAATTATATATTAGAGAAGTAACAAAATATATTTCACCTGAAAATATGATCTTAATATTAACTAGATCTAGAATAAATTCTATTCCAATTAATGCATTATTAGGAAGAGAAGTAAATCAAGAATATAATAAATATTTCAATGATAAATTAGAAAATTTGAATATGGAACTCAATAATCACAAATATTTTAGAAAATTAAATGATTTTGTTCGATACTATATAGATGATATTCCATTATATATCATTTTAAATTTAAAAAATATAACAGAAGACCATGCGAAGAATTTAAGAATTGATTTAATGAATCTTAATAAAATAAGATATCCTATTGATTTAAATATACATACAAAATATGTGGCTAAGCAAGATTATCCTGAAAGTTTATATAATATTTTAGTATCAAATTTAAATCATTCAAGTAATGTTCTTATTGACAAACAACATATTTCAAAATTTTCAAAAACAGTATATTATTTACCAGGTAAACCAAGTGAACTTTCTTTAAATATACGAGCAAGTTTAACAATAAAATATGTACCAGTAGACATTATTAAAAATATATTTGAAAGTGTTAATATATCTAAATTAATTACAATATCTTATATAATACAAAATATATTTATTGATTATACTGATTCATTGTATAAAGAAAATATAAGATGTAATAATTATAAAACATTATATGATTTAAGTAATATTGACTTTGGTATTAATATTCATATAAAGAATTATGCATCAATATTTCCAATAATATACAAAGAATTATGTAAAAGCTTATTAAAAATATTTGATTTTATCAATGAATGTGATTTAAATACTTATAAAAAAAAATTTGAATTAGTTATATATAATTTAAAGACTATATATAATAATGATTTAGCATCCCAAAATATTTTTGAATTTTTCAATATTGAGACCCTTGATACTAAATCATTAATATCTGAAGTTAGAATATTAAGAAAATATGATATTTTAAAATTTGCTGAACTATTAATAAAATATGGAGTTTTGGAGGGTCTAATTATTGGTAATTGTAACCCATTACAAATAAATTCATATCTAAATGATTTTTGGAATTTTCTTCATCTTAATCGAAATTTTAATATTAATCTAGATCATGATATTAATTTACATTATCAAATTTTTCCTAAAAATAATACTATTGCTTCTAAGATTCAAGAATCCTTGAATATGATACATCTACCTGATTCATATAAAAAGTGCTATTATTTTATTAGAAGTAAGTCTAAAACAATTACAAATGAATTTATTTTTCAAATTCACAGTGGATATTATAAATCTAATAAAAGTGCACTCAATAAACTTATAATTAATCTTATTAATAAGAGAGCATTTACAAAGTTATTTAAAGGTCAGATCTCTTTGAGATTATCTATATACTTAGATATATTTTCATCTTCATTAGAAACATTTAATATTGTAATCTATTCAAGTTTTAATACACTTGTATATATTTTAAAATTTATGAATCAATTTATCCAAGTTATATTTTCAACTAATTCTCCAGTCATTTCTTTAAAAGAATTTGAAAAAGCTAAAAAAAGAACTATCAGATTTTTAGAGAGCAATAGAACTACTAATGAATTAATGGATTTGTATTATCCAAAAATTATTAATAATGTATATCCATTAGATTGGTTACAATTAGAAATTGTTTATTTAAAGAATCTAACATTTGACGAGTTTGTCAAGGAATGGGAAGAATTTATCAAATTACCTCAATTTATACTTGCAGTACATAGAGATAACTCATACAAAACAAAATTAGATACTATATCCAAATTGAAACCATTTGAATTTAGACAATTAAATTCTATTGATGAACTTCTAACTAATTATAATCTTAGTTAATAATGAGATTTTAATAAGTAATTCAAATATTCCTTATAGATAATAAAGAAGCAAAAATATCCTGGGAAATTTCTAAATTTCATCAGAAAATTAAAAAAAAATTATTTATATTAAATTAATTATTAAAAGTTACTACAATATTAATATTTACTGTTATCTGCTTTTAAAAAACTTATATATGAATAATCAATATATTGTAGATATAAAATGAAATGTAAATTTTTTTTATTATTTAGTCAAATTATATTTAGTATTATTATTATTATAATTAAATATAAATTTATTAATTATTCCCCCTTTCTTTTTTCTTTTTAATAACTCTAATTTACATGCTACATACTAAGCTATTATATAAAACTTTTTTATTAAAAAAAAAGTCGTTATTTACTTTACTAATTATTATCAGTGATCTAGAGAAGTATAATATTCTATAGATATTTTATAAGTATATATATATTAGATAAAATTTTATTAATAATAAGATTTATATTATATAAGGGAATATTATAGGTATTATCACGAAATATACTAGTTATAATGTAAAATATAAAGTTATTTAATAAATACAAATACAAATTTTTAATAAATTCAAAAATTTTATATTAAATTGTTTCTATAATAATAGTAGAAGAATAGCTTGCTCAAGTTAACATAAACTTAATTGATAATTATTAACACTTCCAAAATTATATATACACATATAATTTAATTAGAGTAATTTTAATTAAAATAATAAATACAGTAAATTTCTTAAAATAAATTGAATCTTAATAATATTTACTGAAGACAGGCTATTAAAATAAAGGTACTAATAATATTACGAAGTATTTTTATTAAATATCTTCTTTTCTTTACAATAGAATTATTTAAGCTATTATATTTATGTTTAGTGCTTAAATTTGGGTTTAGTTGGATTTCTATAGTGTAATTAGGTATATTCTTGTAAAAAGTGAATTTTTAGATTCAGTGATACTAAAAATTATTAGCGCCTTATATTAATACTAATTTCACATTTATAGTATTAACTAACAATAGAGAAAATACCGCGCCAATCACGTGTTAATATTATTAAAATAAATTATTTTAGAATGTATATAATTACCATATATTACTAAATATAAAAGGTTTTAACTATATTTAAATAATTACTTAGAATTTTTTTTATTATGATAAAATTAATTGGTGCTATTATTTTTAATATAATTAGATATATCTATAAAGTGGGTACCATATCATTCCCGTGGGGCAGATAACGCCTAATATAATATTAATGTGGACAACTAATTTGCATGTTCCCAACCTAAAAGATAAAGATACTTTTATTTGACTTAATATTTGTATTTATTTAATTATGGATATAATTTTTAATTGTATATTTAGGGGACTTCTTTTTTTGTGGATACTATCTCTTTATTTAGATGTATTTATATATGATTCCAATAATACATTGAATAGTTTTAAAGTTAGTTTTGTAGAGGCTACTCATTCTTTAAATGGAGTAATAAAATATCCAAGAGATTATCCTAATAGCAGCATAGTAAATTCTATTGGTGATAGAGAATTTATTAAACCTTTTGGAGATTTTGCTAAATATCGTTTTGTTACATTAAGAAATAAGATGCAAGTATTTTTAGTTTCAAATCCGAATTATAATAATTCTTTTGTAACCATGGGTGTTCGTGTAGGTAGTTATATGGATCCAAAGGAAATGTCAGGATTATCTACTTTATTGAAAGATGTATTAATGGCTGATGAGAGTGAAGTGGAAGATCAAGATAAATTTATAAATTATTTGTTAGATAATAATGGTTTATATGAAGATAAGATAAATTACTTAAATACAGAATATACTTTTACAATTCAATCTAAAAAATTAGAGAATGCGTTGAAATTATTTAGTAACCTGTTTAAATTTCCTAAATTTAAAGAGACTACAGTTCAAAATCAGATAAACCATTCAGAATTATTTAAAAGAAGTGATAATGATAAAGAATATAAATTAGAAAATCTTTTAAATACTCTTGCAACTCAATATAAAGGACAGAATGAGACATTTTTTTCACATTATGAATATCTTAAACAATTGAATAATAAAGATGATAATCTTTATTTGGAATTAGTTAAATTTTATAAAGAGAACTATAGTGCTAATTTGATGGTATTATGTATCATATCAGATGATTCTCTTGATAAGCTTGAAAGTTATGCTGTAAAATTATTTACAGATATTCCAAATTTAAATCAAACTTGGATAAATAGTTATGATATATTTTATGGAAATAATCATCCATATAGTAATTTAACTCAAAAGATTATTGAGATGAAAAGTATAGATAGTGATATTAATGAATTATCTATATTTTTCCCAATAGATAATCAAGATGGTAATTGGAGATATAAATTTGCAAATTATATTTCATTTTTACTTACTTCTTCAGGAAATCATGATTTAAGATCTAAATTAATTTCTAGAGGGTGGGTTACCAAATTTACAACAGAAGTTAGAAAAAATTCTAATGGAGTTACAAATTTTGTTATAATGATTCAATTACCTCATAAAGGTGATAATAATATATTGAGGATTCTTGAGGCTTTATTTTCGACTTTTGAAGTGATTCGAATATATCCAATGGATGATTTAATATGGGAACATATTCGAGTTGCAACCGAAGTTACATTCCAAAATAAATTAAGTTTAAAAGGTAAAATGAGAGCAAGTGATATTACTCAGACTTATATGGATACAGGCTGTTCACCAGAAAAAGTTTTACAAGCTCCTTTTAGTATGAGTTATGTAGATTATGTGGAATTTCATAAATTTTTGGACTTTTTTATCCCTAAAAATATGTTTTTAGTTTTATCTAACTCAAAGTTTAGTAAAAGTGGAAGTTCTTTATTATTAAGTAATAATTCATTATATGAAGGTATTTGGGGAAGTATTGCTAGACATTTTAGAATATTTGGAATGTCAATAGGAAATTTATTTATAAAAAAGAAAGTAGGGATTTTTCCTTTCTTCAATATACAACCCTATATTCATACTGAATATTTAGTTGATGAAATTCCAGAAAGGATTATAAATAATCTTAGTGATATAACAGATTCACCAGCAAAAAAATTACTTAAGATTGAATTAGGTCCAGATTTTTTGGGAAATTTAGATTTAACTTTACATACTGTAAATATTACAAAACAAGATCATCCTATTCTTTTATCAGATATTTTGGCTAAATATATATCAATAGAAGAAAAGGTTGGAAAAAATTCTTCTGAATATGATTCAATAAAATCTGGAAATTTAACAGCTATAGATATATCTCCATTTGCTTCAAATATATATTACATGCCTAGTGGTAGTAGAAATCCATATATTTATGCTAAAATTAATTTTGATTTTGAAAAAGTTGATTTAGATATTAAAAATATTAAATTTAGTAATATTCCAAGATTAATTGTACTAAACTATTTATTTCAGCATGCATTCTATGCATATATTAGGCCAGTATTACGTGATTATATTATTTTAAATGAATATAAAACTATTTATGATATTAATACAATGAAACTTGGTATTAGATTTGATATATTTGAATATTCTTCTGCCTTTCCAAATATATTTAATGAATTAGTTAAGTCATTGGCTAATCCTCATGATTTTATAAAATCTTCATATATTTCACTAGCTAAAAGAGATTTTAAATTAATGATTCAGAAATTGGCTAATCAAAGTAGTAAACATATCTCTATTTCTATTATATCACAAGTTTTGTCTAAAGATCCTCTTACTTTTGATATGTTAATTAAAGAAGAACGAAGTATTAAATATATAGACATTTTAGAATATGTAATGGTTTTGCTTAAATATGCATCACTTAAAGGTATTGTTATAGGTAATTGTACACCTATACAAGTAAATTATTATTTAAATAGATTCTCTACATTACTTAATAATAATATTTATACAACAAATCCTGGTATAACTGAACATCTTAAATATATAGGACCAACAAAATCTAAAATAATTAATATGATGTATTTACCATCTTCTCATCATTTTACTTATGTATTTGAAAAAAGTAAGTATGGTTCTAATCAAGTTAATGTCATTCTTCAATTAGGTCCCAATAATGTAGAGAATAATGCAATAAATGCCTTAATCAAACAAATAGAGTTTCATGAAGCTTTTGTTCAATATGTATCAAATAATTCGTCATATATTACATTATTTGATTATTCTAGTATTTATGCATCATCAATATGTACCTATAATTTTGTTTTTATGTCTAATGTGTATAATATTAAGGAAATTGTCAATATTATTCAGGGATTCTTTGATAAATTCTTAGTTGAATTATCCCCACTTGTTGAGTTAAAGAAATATAAAAAAGCAAAATATTCTACAATAGCAAATCTTTCAAATTTTGAGAGACAAACTTTGGGGGCAATGAAACTTCATTATGTTCCAATTATTGAAAATAATAGCCCAGTTAATTGGCAAAAAATGGAAACCAGTTATCTTGAAAAATTATCTCAAGATGAATTTTTGGAAGTATGGAAAAAATTTATTAATTCCCCAAGATTAATGGTTGCTATTCAAATAGATAACATTAATAATAAATCAATGAAGGAAATTTCTGAATTTACACCTCCAGGTTACAGAAAATTAACAAACAATAGTGAACTATTTGATTTATTTAAAGATAGACAATATAATTAAAAATATAATATTATAATTTAAAGTGATGTTTTTATTATTAAATATGTAATATTTTGAAGTGAAGTATTTCCTTTTTGTTACCAGGTAAATTAAGTTGGTTTATAAGATGTATTGTATTGATTTATGTTCTTAATTTAATCTTATGAAGTTCTTAGTTTTTATCTCTAAAATCTAAATATTTAAAGTGTTTCACTGGCTATATCAATTTTCTTAACATTTATTTATTTAGTTATTTAATTATTTTCAGTTTAATGATAAGTAATACTGTTACTTGTAAATGTACTTTGTCGTAATATATTATTGTTTTCATCTCTTCTTTAAGTATACATATATTTGTTAATTATCATATACTTCTGATTGTTCTAATCATTTCTTATATTTATATATTTAGTGTTAAGTCTCATATATCATATTAAAGGATAATTAAGTCAGACAACACATATAACTTAAGAATACTGTTCAAATATTTTGTTTCTGAAATGAAATAACTATATCTTTGTTATATTCCGTTGATTTTCTTAAAATCATAAAATATAGATTAGGTACTCTTGTATATATTTGATTATACACGACTTGGATCTATCCTCTAAATTGAATACTATATTATTTAGAGAATCAAAAAATTAGATATTTATCATATATATAACAATTGATGTTATTTGACTGTATTGTTAATCTTTAATTATTCTAATTTGAAGTTTCATAATAAAACAATACTCATGTAATGTTAAGAAATAAAATTTAATCGAGCACTGCTTTATTATATAGGACAAAATGAAGAACTTGTATTTTCAATATCTTTATTTCCCACGAGTTACTTAGATTATAGAGACAATCTAGTACAGTTATCATTTTGAACTTAACTGATATTTATTACTCTACTATTTTGTTATTGTGGTTATGAGAATCTTACATTTATTCAATCTTGCTAATATTTTATATCATATTTATGTAACTTGTGATTTCCAACACATTGAAATATTATATAAAGTTTCTTGTGTAAGAATAGTCTTTGGAGATCATTTCTACCACAGTGAATGGGATAAAGTTATAGTTGGAGATAATGAAACTACCAATTATTCTAGTAGAAAAGATAGAAGACAAGGAACTCGTAATATATTGCGTGGTATATCTAAATATTTTTCTAACGTATTCAGGAAATCAAAAGTATCTTCTCCTAAGAAGAGACGACATAGTGAATATAATCTCTTGAGTAAAATAGATTTAAATGTCGATAATGTTCTAGATGAAGTTGGAGTATCTATACCACAGCCTGAACATGATTTGGGAACTAATGATATTGAAATAAATATAGATGGGAATTTGTTAATAACGCTAAGAGAACAATTATTAATTGCAGAAGATATAGTGTCAAATTCAAAGTATGAACTACAGACAAGTAAATATTGTTCTATTGATACATGGGAAATTTTACAAACAACTATTCGTAACTCATTAACTACAAATGTTAGAATTAAAGCTGAAATTTCTTTAGTAAAGAGAATAATTGCAACTGAATCTAGTGAAGTATTTAATAGAATATTGCTAAACAAATACAATTTGATGTCAAGTGAATTAATTGATTTTTTAACTAATGAACAACTTTTATTAGAACAAGCTATACAGAGTATGAGTTCCCAGTTGAAGGAATGTATCTCATATAAATTAGAAGATAAAAGGAGAACATATATATATAAGAATAATCCTAATTTACCAAGCACTACATGTTCTGAAGATGATTTTTGGGATTCAAAGTCAAAATATATGTATTCTCAAGTAGAATATGCATTAAATTTAGGAGCTATTAATAATTTGCGGAGTTTATTAAAATATAATGAATGTAATACTCAAGAAAAAGAAATTAATCATTGTACTATTTGCAGGGAAGTTCTATCTATTTTGGTGGAATATTCGAGTTTAATAAATAATGATTATATTCTACTTAAAGATCTTAGAAATTACATACTTGAATGTGGAAATTGGCTTAATTTATCTTTAAGGAGATAGATTATCAAGAAGACCCGCAGGTTATTTTCATAATAAAACATTTGGTTTATTATATGATCAACCAGATCAACCAGATCAAACAGAACAAACAGATCAGAAATATAAAGATATTGCAAGTTCAGAATTGTCTGAATTAGATAAAATTAATCCAGAAATTGTAGAAAAAGGAATTTTGTTTTATGATGAAAGTAGATTTAAAAAAGATGAATTATTAGATGAAAAAAGGAGTCGGATAATGACTAAAATTCAGAAATTGGATGAGTTAATCGAGAAAATTGATTCTAAAGAATTGTATTTTTGTGATAAATCCTGTAAAAGAAAAGATAATTGTTTTTTTTGTAGGAGGAGACGTTCTATAAATAAGAGAAGGGCCAAATATAAAATATTTACATTAAAAGATGAATTGTGTAAGTTAGATATTTAGCAACTTTTTTAAATAATGGAATTTTTTAAAAATATTTTAGTTTAAGCATTGGATATATTACTTTTTTAAATAAATAAATTGTGAGCACCTTAAAGTTATTCAGAGTGATAAATTTTTTTTTATAAATTTAAATTTTGGTTTTCTACGAAATGAGTTATGAAATTATTAAATAAGTTTAGATAACTATTAAAGAGTAAATTTCAATATTTGACTTTATTGATTGAGATAATAATAATCCGTTGTAAATGCATAAGCAATGAAAGTTAATACTGATTACTATGATGTGTGATGAAGTATCTTTGGGTGTAAATCTTGAATAGTTACATCTCATATATATAAATTATTTTTTAATAGAAGAAAAAGAGATGTTTAACTTTTATAATAATAATAAAAGTTTAAAATTACTTATAGTTATGTTTATTAGTGTAGCTGTTCTATATAAAGATTTGAAATATGATGAACTAAGTATTGACTACAAACCTTTTAAAAATTATCTTGTATATTCTAGTTTAGAAATGAAGACTAAGAAGTATAAAACAAAAAGAATTAAAGGGACTTATAAAGGGACTAGTGGAGTGAAGACTCACAAACTCAAGCGTATACCAAATGAAAAGAAAAAGCACTATCCTAAAAGATTACTAAAGTTTATATATAATAAGGTACTTAGAAAGAATAAGAGTCATAATGGAGCTAGTAAAAAAAATAAAGTTAGTAGAGATGTTGATGTTTTAGTCCAAAAAGCCCCAGATTCATGTGAAAGTGAAGTTAATGAATTAAATAAAATTTTGCAAGATAGTTGTGGAACTCCAGATATATCTTCAGAATTAACTAAAATTGAGAAATCAATTTCTGAAGAAGAATGTACACCAGAATTATTAAATTATTTAAGAGACTTCATTGTATTATTATTTAGTAGAAGAACAGTACTAGAAAATATTGTAGATGAAAATCAGCATACTTGTCAACATAATCATAGCAATAATTATTTATGTGACTTATGCAGCACTAAACAAAAACTATTAAAAGATTTACATGAGAGAAGGAATAATATATCCAGAGATATGGAAACTATACTCAAAATTATAAAGGAATGCATTCATATTATAAATAAATATGATATGATACACTACCAGTATAAGAAACATAATGGTATTAATGAGGAGAAATGTTCCAAAGATGATTTCATGAGACTTGTTAGGGAATATGAAGAATTAATTGTTCAGGAACATATTAACAGATGTTTTCATGATTATAATAAACAGAGTCTTGATAAATGTACAAAGTGTAAATCTGAAATGTTGGTTAGTAATATATGCAGAATATGCACCTCCATTAATAATTCAAAAAATAATCTTTACAAAGTGATAAATATTATTGAAATTGAAATTCAAGGAAAATTAACACAAATATTTCAATGTGAAAATTATCTGTTTAATTTAGTAAATAGAAATATATTAAGGACAGCTTCAGAAAGGCGTAATTGGCTGAAGGAGATATATAAAAGGCAGCTACAAGAAATTAAAGCAAATAATAAAACAAGTAATGAAGAGGCAAATAATGAAGTTTCATTAGGAAGTCAAAATATATCAGTAATAGGACAATTGACAAATTTTGGTATAAATGCTAGGAAATTTTTTTCTGATATTTCTTCAACATTCAAAGAAAAGGAAGAAGCTGAAAAAATTGTACTTGAAAATCAGCTTAAAGTAAAATTAGAATCAATAAGAAATAAGGCGGAGATTGAAGAGCAAAAACATATAAAAATAAATTCAGAATTGAAACAGGGAGTTTGTACTGAAGATAGTCTAAAAACTTTTTTAGAAAAAAAAGATAAATATTTGAAGTGTTTTAATAGCTCTTTAACTTCATTTATGCGTTGTAATATTAATTGCAATGACAAAAATTGTTATCTTTGTGAACAAGAAACTATTTCGAAAAGAAAGCGTTGTTTTTATAAACTTCAAGAAATTAAAGAAAAATTAATATTATGTCTCAAGATTAAGGGATGGACTCTAGAAGATATTGAAAAAGAGTTGAAAGATATATTAGATATAGAATAAAAGAATAAAGAAAATTGAAGTGTGGTAGAAAAAAGTTCAAGATATAGTGAAACAGAAAGAACATCAAGTACTGTTGAGCTAGAAGGTACTTATAAACTATTAGCATTGAAAATAGAACAAGTTAAGATATGATAAAGTATATAATCCACGTTAACTTAAAATATTTATATCCTACTTAATTATAAATGGAATTAATATAATTATATTACACTAATAGAATCAAAGTGGAATGTTTGAAGACCTAACTCGCTGTTTATTTTTAATAATATTAAATTCTTTTATATTATTAATATGATATTAATTATTGTACAATTATTTCCAATAATATTAAGATAATATATATTATCGGGTTTAATATACTATAAAATGATCAATTTATTAGATAATTGGCCATTATAATTAAAAATAGTATCTCTACTAATATATACTATAACAAATTATCTCAAAATTTTTATTATTAAGACTAGTACAAGAATATATTACTAACAATTACATTATTTTGTTTTGTTTGTTAACGTGATTATGTAAAGTATAAATAAGATTTTCATTATTTAATTATATTATAAATATAATGAATTACAAATATCTTGTAATATAAAATACTCTAAGCTATATTTATTTTATTATTCAATAATCATCCATTTATAGTAATATATATATATTGAGTGAACTAATATTTTATTTATAATAAATTATTTAAGAAAAATTTTGAATTAATAAAGTAAAATATTAACTATTAGACTTAAGAGGATACTTGTGAAAAATAATTTATTTTAAAAAATTTGTTTATAAATGTCCAGTGATTCCTACAGAATATATTTTCTAAGGAGTTTAAAAAGGTTTATATATATTTTATTTGAATATAATGATTGTTTTTAATATTTATTTATTGCAGAATGTATTATTTAGATAATATTTCATAAAATATTATATTTAGGATACTAAGTCATATCAATTAAGGATCTACTTTTTAGTTAATAATTAGTAAATTATACAAGTACATAAATAATATATGAACCTTGTATCAATATATTTATTATAAAATATAAAAAATAATTAAATAACTTAAATTAATATGAAGATATTACAAGAACTCAAATATTTTTTTTTTTCTTTTACTTTAAAACCTATTATTGAATAAAAGTTTTAGACAAATTTTCTTTTTTTTTAGATTACTCATAATAAATAATTTAAGTTCATATAATTAAAAATTATTTTCAAACTAATTAATATATCATTAGATATATAATCAGTATATATATACTCTAACTTATTAAAATGTTAGTTTCTCAAAAATTAATAAAAATATTAAAAGATCTTCATATTTTTAAGTATTTATTTTTTATTAGTTTTCAAGTTTTAATTTTATTATTATTAAAACAAAATATTAATAGATATTTATAGTCTATTAAATAATAACTACATAATATATTATTAGCCAATAAAATATAACAATACTAATGATTCCATATACATTTTTGGAAATAATATATTAAGAACATATTTAAAGACCTAAGTAGATAGCTAAATACAAATAATTAAAATTATATCAAATTAGTTATAAATCTACTTTTAATCACACACTACATATTAATTTTTTAAACATAAATTATTTGTTGAAATAAAAGTTTTGGAATTTTAAGATTAACTATATTAAAACAGACTATATTTAGATAATAAAACAAAATTATCAATTATTCTTGTCAGTATAATTATAGTGAATATTATGTATTACTTTTTTAAACAATTATATTATTTAATTTATAAATTACACCCAATAAATTGCGTAATTTGTGTGAACAAAGTAATAATTATATTTAATTAGAATATCTTTTTTTTTTGTAAAATTAATCATTTGGAGGAAGATGAAAATATATATATACACTTTATACTTAACTATAATTTCAATAATTACCCAACAAGTTAAATGTCAAACGACAGCTAATAATTTTACTGAATTGGTTTTAAGAAATCAAAGACAATATTGTAATATATATACCTCTTCTTTATATACAACTGAGAAAATACCTGAAAAAAATTATCAAGGTGAAACCAATAATATGAGAATTAAACCTAAAAAACCTAGAAAGAAAATTGTATATCCTGCGTTCTTTAGGAGTGAAAATAATGAAACTCCAGATACTAGTGACAGTAATCTTTTAATAAATAAGAATCTTAAACTTAGTGTTAAAGATAAAAATAAACTACAATCAAGAAAAGTGACATATCAAATATTACAACCATCAAAAAGTATAATAATGGAATGTAATCAAGCAAATCTACAAAGTTTATGGAATATATATGCTCAAACTGTTTTGGAAATACTTAAAATAAATGAGAGGATTTCTAAAATGTCAAATAAAGCGAAAGTAAAAAGACATATATTTAAGGTAAAATATGAACAAAGACAAATAAAAAAAGAAATTAAATTAAAAAACAATCTTCTAGATGATATTATGGATATGATGAGGCATTGTTTGCAAAAATTAATTGAAAAGTTAACATTAAGTGATATTTTAGAATATTGTAAAGGAATTCAACCTGAAAGTTGCTTAATGAGTGAAGTTAAGTCGAAATATTTAGATATTAAACTTATTGAGACTCAATTGAAAATGGAAGAAACTGTAAGCCAAATTTTGGAGAAAAAAAGAAAAAATTACTTGGAAGAAGTAACAGAAGAAGTAAACCTAAGGAACATAGTGAAAAACAAAAGCTTTTAATGAACAAATACCATTCAGTAATTTATACATTTTTAAGTTGTTCAGTTTATTTATTAGAAATTAAAGAATAGTTTTGTTCTTTAGGAAAGAAAATAAAGTGGGAACTCTTACTGTTGCATGGATACATGAATCAAATAGTCCAGATATTAAATCACAACTAAAATATGGAGATTTACGGACTTTATTAAAGTATGATAATTCAAATTTAATTTGACTATGAATTAAAATATTTAGATGTATTATTTTGAATAATATATTGATAATCAGAGTAATTATAAAAAGTGTTGTATCATTTATAATATGGTTATATTTTCTTAATTTACATGTTAATTTTATATTTTTTTAATTATAATGAAGTTATATTATTATAGTACCAAAATATCTATAATAAAGATAGTCATTATTGGAAAATTACAAGTGATCAGAATACAAGATGAGAAAAAATAACTATTAGTATTAATTTTTAGAATAAAATTTCGTTGAATTCTTTATTATGTGAAATCTACAAATTCATTCATTAGAATCAGTATTTATATGATAATAATGATATTATTCAGTTATAATTCATATCAATAATGTTAAAATAATAATTTTTTAAAAAAACTTTACCTAAATAGGTTCAAACTTTTTAATTATTCCTTTTACTTAACTGCTACCCTATTTTAAAGTTTTTAGTAATTGTGTATGAAAAATAATGTAAAATATTAAATTTAAAACTAAAATAAAACAATGAAATTGGAATTTAATTAATAAACTTATTAAGTGAAATTAATATTAATACTTTTAGTACAAGTATATTTGATATTAAGAATTAAACCTTATTAAGTATAATTGTAATATTTATTTTAAAGAGTAATATTTAAATTTTATTTTAAGTATTAATACATAAAAATTTTATAATATATAATACACTAAAATATTTTCATTAAATTCTCAAATATTTCAAGGTATTAATATATTATCTATTGACTTTTTTTTTCATTTATTCAAGATAATTAAGCTTTTTAAAAGTTAAATAAAGTGTTAAATTTTAAGTTTATTAACTTTAGAAGTATTAATTTAGTATTAGTATTAATATTATTTCAAAAACAAATATCTTTTTTTTTATGAAGTAAGATTGTTTAGTACATAACTATTATCATAAATTCATTATTCTATTATATTAATAAAAAAAAAATGGAAGTTATTTATCAGTAATATGATCATAAAAGTGGAGATATTTAAGAATAAATATTTTTTTAAATATAAGTTATATTTATGTATGTATTTCAGAGTACCTTTCTAGGTTTATTAATATTATACCATTATTTTTATTCAAATTTATGTATTCCTTTTCATTATTTGATCATTTATTATTGTGAAATTAACATTTAAATTAAGATTAAGATTTTTATAATGAATATATTATTAGTCAAAGGTCTATTATATAAAATTGAAATTGTAATTTTTATTAGGAATATATTTTGAATTAGAATATAATAGTAAAATAAATAATTTATAAGTAAAATTATTCAATATCATTCATTTTATAAATTAAAATATTTTAATATATTTCTAGTTTAATTTTTTTAAATATTATTTGTTATTTATAAAACTATTTGGTATATACTCAATATTATCAATAGATATTTTTTCCTAATAATATTTTGTTATTAGAGTATCATTAATTTCGTATAATTTAAAAAAAAGTTGATATTAAACTAATCAATAAATTTTTCATATTTTAAATCTTGTAAATAATCTATTGGATCTTTTTCTTTATTTAAAATTGACTCTTGATCAAAATTTCTCATAAATATATATGATTCAATATCTTAAAAAGATTTTAAAGACATTTTTAATTTAGATATTAATATTTTTTGTAGGTTCAAAAGATTTCATATTAATATTATTTATATTAAAACTATCTTCAATGTAAATTAGAAATTTTTCTAGGATATATTTTATCATATTGAGACTGTTTGATAATAAATAGACGAAATTATATTTTCAAACTTAATAAGACAAGAAAAAATTAAATTTTAATTTTTGTTTTTTTTTCTTTACATAAATGATTTAAAAAAAAATTATTAAATAAAATATTAATTATAATGATGAATTATTTCTTTTTATCACAGAATAGGTAATATTAATTAAAATATTATTTAGATTTTCTAAGTGAATCAATTTATTAAGATAATATGAATTTCTGTACTTTTTTTTTGTTATTTAATATATAAACATTTCATATCTATTTATAAAATATAATGTTTCATCATTTTATAAATTAATTAAAATTGGTAATATTTTCCATATTTATATTACAATATAAACGACTATAATTTAATAATGAATTTCTAATATATATATCTACATATTTATTTATGATTAGATTTATGTTCATTTTTTCTTTGTTCTAATCATTTATGTTCTGTAGTATATAATTGGATAATTTATCTGAATTTTTTTATTTATCAAGAAGTCATTATTAGATATAAAATTCATATCTAGAATTTGATTTGAATCATTTATATACCCAATTATCCTTAAAAATTTTCTAATTATAAATATAAAGTATCTTATAGTATAATTACTTATAATGATAACTTCTGATTTATATTTAAAAGTAACTTTTGCTAAATATATCTTAAATTTCATATTTATTAATTCATCTAATAATTTATCTCTTGTAATATTTTGTTTATTTAATATTTTAAAAGTAAACATTAAAGATAATTTATATTAATTTAAAATAAAATATTTAATTATTTATTAATTAGATTAAACAATCATATAATTTATTAAAATGTTAATTTATCAATATTATTTCAATGAGCAAACTTGTATAATATTAATATAAAATAACTAATTTTAATAACTCAAGCCCCTCAAGTAATAATTAATATTGGATTTAAAGGAACTTTTTGTTATAGTGAACAGGTAATTGAGTTAGAATTACAATTTTATATTTTGATAGATTATTTATAAATTCATATGAAATTTCATCTGAAATGATATCTTTAATATCATTAATATTAGGAAATATTAATCCAATATTTATTAAACTTTTCGGGATAGAAATATTATTAATTTAAATATAAATATATTAGATTTTAATATATTTGGTATTTTATTTATTACAATAAAATATTTATATTCATGTTGAATATTAAGTATATCAATTTAATTATATTTGAACAATCTTAAAAGTGAATTAAATAAAGTCAATAGGATACTTCTGTGGTTTTATTATTAAATAATATATAGTAAAATCTGTTGGTATATATTTATTATAAGATGATAATTTTATATCTATTCCATCTAATATTATAGATGAACTAATATGATATTATTTATTAATAAAACATTTAGGTATCACTTGTAAATTATATTTAGTTCCAAAATATTTCATGTTGTTCTTCATTAATTCCTTCATTATATTTTGTAATTAATTATTATTACTTCATTATTAAATATTTGATTATATTTCAAAGAATCAAAATTGGGTTTGCTTAAAATAATCAATATTATTTGGTTCTAATAAATACAAAATCTCTTCTATTATAATCATCCCTTATTTCTTATAATCAATAATTAACTTTAATTATTTAAAAAAATTAATAATATAAAATATCTTATTATTAAATAAAATAAAATAATCCTTAACTTCATTTGATAATGAAACAATTATTGAAAAATATAAAAATTCGAATTTACTCTATATACAACTAATTGTTAATTAATTAAATCATTCTATTGAATTTAATTATTCAAATGAAACAATTTTTTATTTAAATATATAATAAATATATCTCATATTCATTTAAACATATTTGTTAAGTTACTGAAAATATAATTGATAATATTATTTGATTATTAATATACTTAATTTATATTTATCTATAAATCTTAAATTCTTATTTTTAATATCTAAAAGATATTTCACTATAATATCATCAAGTCTACATAAATATTTAATCCTAATAATTGTAATTTTCATTATATTAGAATTATAATATATAAAATTTTATTAGTTCACTAATTATATTAATTCTTAATTCATCCTCTAAATATAAAATTTCCTTATTTTCAAATAAATAACTTATTATAAATATGATTTATATTTAATAAATATTTTACAAAATTAATCTAAATGTATTGTAAATATGAATTAATAATTAATTAACCCAAATTTATAAATAATTAGATTTAATTTACTATTTAAACAATAATACATATAAATTTAAATGACTTAAAGAAGTATTAAAATGTCCTAATGTACATCTTTTAAGTATGTATATTTTATAGTAAAAATAATATCTTTATTTTTTTCAGAATTAATTTGTTGTAGAATTAGAATATATTTTATTATTATTTAAGTATCAACCATAATCATGTTCACCTAAATATTTATGTATTCCAAAAAATATGTTTTAAATAGTAAAATAAACTAGGTATTGATTTCGGATGTATAAAATTTTCTATTTCAAAATTTAATATTGTCTTTTATCAAAACAACATGAATTTTTTATTTTTAGAAACTTATTTTTAAAAAAAAATTTATTAGTATCAATTTTGCAAATAAATATTGTCGTTTATAAATTTATTTTCATTATATATTTTTTTTCTTATTTACAAAATTATTCAAAAATATTTTGTAAATGATATTATTAAATTATTTGAATTTAACTAATTAGTTATATCTTTAAATTGATAATATTTTTGAATATTTGTAATGTTGACTTTTTTAAAAAAAACTTAATATTTAATACATACATAATAATATATATAGTAGTAAAATAATATAAACTTAGTTTAGTTTAAATTATGTAAATAATTCTATTAGATAATAATGGATCTAAAAAACTACATCTGATACTTTTAGTTGCAAGTTACGAGACACATATATATCGTATTAATTATATTGTAAGGCTACGTGTCTCATTTTCAATAAATAGATATTTTATTATTTTTAAATATAAGATTTTATTTTCTTTCCAAAAATAACACAGGGAACCTACTTTCTTAAGTTGAGGGTAATATATAAAACATGTTACAAATAAATTGTATAACTAAAAGTATGAAATTTAACTTTCTGAAAAAAGGATATATTGAATAAACAACGAATTTGCGATATTGAATATACTGATTAAGACATGTAAATAATTAGATGAGTTAATATACGTCCTCATTTTATCTATATTTCATGTAATTTATAGTAGGATAAAATAGTAAATTTCATTAATTATTGGATATACAGAAATTGAACACTTATTATTTTTAAGTTATAATTAGTTGATAACCTTAAATAGTATAATAAATTATTCATAAAATATTTCGAATGAGTTGATAAATATCAAAATATAGCAATAGGATTAAAATGAATTCAAATAAGGAAAATAATGATACTATTTACAGAATTGAAGATAATAATTTTTTAAAACCAATATCTGAAGATAGAAAATTTAGATTTATTAAATTAAAGAATAATATTGAATGTTTTTTAATTTCAGATAGTCAATCTCAAGAATCAGCTGCAGCTTTAAGTGTTGGGATAGGAAGTTCTATGGACCCAAAATCAATACCTGGTTTAGCTCACTTTTTAGAACATATATTATTTCTTGGAACAGATAAATTCCCAGATGAAAATCAATATTTTCGTTATTTAGTTGAACATGGAGGATATTCAAATGCTGAAACATATGATGATCAAGCAATATATTATTTTTCTGTAGAGCCTACATATTTAGAGGGTGCATTAGAACGTTTTAGTGAATTTTTTAAATCACCTAGATTTAATGAATCATGTTTAGATAGAGAATTAAATGCAATTGATAATGAATTTAAATTAAGACTTAATTCAGATATATGGCGTATAGAACAAGTTCAAAGGTATTTATCAAATTCAACTCATGTTTATAATAAATTTATTGTTGGTAATAAGGAAACTTTAGAAATAAATCCAAAATTAATGGGAATTAATGTACGTGATGAATTAATAAGATTTTATACAAATTATTATAGTTCTAATATAATGAAGCTTGCAATTATTGGAAATGAATCTTTATCTAAACTTGAAGATATTGTAATAAAATACTTTTCAGATATTAAAGATAAGAATATAAAATTTATAAATATAAATGAAACAAATCCATTAAATACATTAATTGGTTATTTATTAAGAATAAAATCTATTAATAATCAAAAAAAATTATCAATAATATTTCCAATAACTTATCAAATACCTTTAAATGAATATGATCCATCTCATTATATATCTGAGATGTTAAATAGTAAAACAGAAGATAGTTTATTTGAATATTTGAAATCAAAAAGATGGATTAATAAATTAATTGTTAATTGTTCATCTTATAAATCTGGTTTTTCATATCTTTCAATTGATACTAATTTAACGAATGAGAGTAAAGATAATTTAATTCCAATTATTAATGCAATATTTTATACTGTAAAATTATTAAAAGAATCAAGATTAGATATTAATTTCTTTAAACAATTACAACAAATTACAGATATTGATTTTAATTTTTCATCACAAAAATCTACTATATCATTAATTCATGATATAGTATATTAT